AAAAAAAGCACAAAGGGGCAGAAGCAAAATCCATCTAATAATAAAGTCAAACAAAGGCCGATGATGTTTTTAACTCCTTGTGATGAAAAATTTAACGGTGACAAAAATAATTTAAGCCTAAAAGAGAAACCGGAATTTCTATTACTATTATCGCTGAAGACAACGGTTAGTTGATAACTCATGTCTTTTCTTTCATAAAATCGCTAAACCGCAAGCAACAACAAAACTAACTCAATTTTAAGATCGAGGAATACCTGCAGATGGTTATTTCTCGGATCGATGGTAATTTGCAGTACGGTAGCACTTATAACAATCGGCGCATGCTGCAGCGACTCATTGAATTTTTCCGAGTCAAACTGACAACTACTCGGTGGCTGAGCAGTCAAGTGTTTCGGCAGTAGCTTTATAAGCAATAAGAACAGAAATGGTTGTAACATGGAAAAGGCACTGCGTAACTTGTGGTATTCCGAATCCAGTGCTTGCAACAAATGGGTTGTGGTAGCTTTTGAAGCTTTTTGAGTTTCCGGTTTGGCTTTGATGATGATAATTGCCAAATGACGGCTGTGTGGCTACCGACGCCGTGGGATGAAGAAGAATGGTGGGTGGAGGAGGACTCCGCCCTCACACCAGCAACACTCACTTCTAGAACGAGTCTCAGATTTTATTCTGGCCCCACCCGAGAATGACTCACTTGGACCCAATAATTCTCAACTACAGCATTGTCCCAAAAATCGTGGAGGCACATCCAGTGCAAGTACATCTGAACTTCTCAGTGAGGATTAGAGACATGCACAGTTCGAGTAATATAATAACATTTCACTTAGGCTTTGAAATAAACATACCAAAAGTATCAAATCATCAAAACGACTGGCTCAAATATCCCATGTTAGCAATGTTATTGGAGTGCTCCGTCACGTCCGGCTCAACTTTGCCAGGCCCTTGATTCTGGGCTTCAGATCCCAAAACGACTGCATGAAATACAAATCTTGACAAACTTATTTTCAAAAATGTCAAAATATATTATTTATACTGAAATAATTGACTGATACGTAATCAGTACTTCACGAGAATGCGGCTAGAAATACTTTTAAATTGCATATATTCATTCTTCTTGTCTATGCGCGCCACTTGACTTTGCAAAGATGAAAATTGGGCACATTACTAGTAAGATTTTATAATTAAATGATGCAACAAAAAGATTAATGGGGACGAAATGACCCAGTGGGCTGACCACTAGGCGATGCAGCACCGATCAAAACAAAAAGAAAAATTCATGTGTGAGAATCACGCAACCATTTTCAGCTGACTGAAGTATCAAAGCAGTCTGCATAAAATGATTTTTGACATTTTATATTTTACATTTATTTTAATTGAGCATCATGCAAATCTAATGGATAGGAGTTCTAGTTTTAGTGTTTCAAGTGCGTTATGTGTTTTTTTGATTCCAATTTTGTAGACAGCATAGAAGTTACTTGTATTTCTCACTTATCAACTTTTATGTTGCTTACGGCTTTGGAGGCATAAATATGAAAATCTCAAACTTCAACAGTCGGCAAACATGACCCCCCTATTTGTAAGTTGGTAAAGGGCAGGTTAAAAACTTCCTTTTTCACCGGTCGTGTTTTGACACCCCAGCTGATACAAATCAGCATAATTTCACATGAAGTACTTCTTTTTAAAGGATTGAAGATAGGTAGATCAAAATTAAGAGTAATTAACCCTGGAATTATCATTTTATCAAGGTGGCCAATCTGCATTTAAAGAGAACATTAAGGCATCTCATATTCCCAGGACACATCATGATAAATTATGCTGGCTTCGCTCAGGCCAACAAATGCACAAGCAGCCGAATCGCGGTCCACAGAGAATATTGTGCCGTAAAAGTTAATTTTAGTACTAGATAGCGTTTTCTCCAGTGAATATTTGTCAGTACTTCGAAGCCGAAGTACTGGTCCGAAAAGAAAGAAAGCTGCCTTTTTTAGTTGCGAGAGCAAGAAAAAAGAATTATGACGTGAGCGTAGCTCAGTTTGCTTGTTTCATAGTGTAGGCCAAACAACATGAGATACTGTTCGTCCATTCCGCATCAGAAAACTTCAAAACAACAATAATTTTACCAAAAAATGGTCTGCAAAGCTGGTTCATAAAATATTCTCGAAATTCCAAAAAAAAAAAA